AGTGTAAATTAGACTACCTTTTAATGAAGCTAATAACTAGCTGGGGCACCCCTTACAGTGGTGTCAAGAGAACAAGAATGGAGCCCGAGGAGTGCTACGATAAAGAGACCTTCGATCAGGAGATCGGGAGTCCAGAGCATGATTTGGAGTTTTGCATTGTTGGCGCTCGGTTCTGATGCTGGCTTCGTAGGGGAATACAATTTTAGCATCTGAAAAAGCCCAGACGGCATGGAAATCAACAATAGTCTATAATGCTGGTAAATATACCCTGTATAGTCTTTAATGCTTGCAAAACGCCACCGGGGCTGCACCAAGCTAAAACAGCTGTAGCTTCGAGCGCCCCTGTCTATGCAGCGTTTTGCAAGCATGCACAACTCACCCAGCTTAGCTGCGCAGAGCTGGTTAGCAACCACGTGATCAAGGGAATCAGCCGTGATTGTCAAAAGCACACGCTGTCGACAAGCGGACGGGGAATTCCACCTTGCAGCAGCTGGTTTCCCCGGTCGCATGTCTTCCGTGTGTGCCTATAAAGAGGGTTAGGGGGCGGCAGAGTGTTATGTTTAGGGGTGGTTGCTCTGCCAACAAGATAAGCACGTGCCGGGCACAGGGCTGCCCCCTTATCTTCTATCATCACCCACCCTCTTTTCCTCCATCTTGCACCTCACGGGTACCTCTACGTGAGTTGTGCACGCCTGCAAAACGCTGCATAGGCAAGGGTCGCTCGAAGCTACAGCTGTTTTAGCTTAGTGCAGCCCCGGTGGCGTTTTGCAAGCATTAAAGACTATACAGGGTATATTTACCAGCATCATAGACTATTGTCGCATGGAAATTCCTATTGGAGTCATGGGCATCTCGATCAGGCCGTGTCAAGCTTCTTCTAGCTTAAAGAGGCTGCCAGCCCGCACGCCGTTCTGGCTGAACGCCACAAACTCGCCTATCCCGACGCGTCAAATTTTCAACACCGACAACACCCATCTTTCCTTTAATGCGGCTTTCGATTAAATCAACTTCTTCTCTATCCCCCAACTAAGAACTCTACACCGACAATCTCGATAGCGTGAATTGAACGCGATAATCAAATTAGTCAAGATTACATCTCCTGCGGAAAAAGTACAACAGAGGGAGGCGTTCTCAGTCAGCCACTGCCGGCTTTTAGCGCAGGTGGCTTACACTAAACTCACGATAGTCCTGGCGAGGCGCCTTGGTATAGGGGTACTGCTATGAAAGTACGCCGGATCCGTGCTTCCTCCATTGTCAATAAGAGTGCCGATCCTTCCGAGACTCGTCCGTCGTCTTCTTCTAGAAAAATGCACCAGTATCAGCCAGGCCTATAAGGGCACTTGCGAGGATGAAGCCGAAATTATCGATTCATGTGGCGCCGTCAACACTAAAGAAGGAATCTTTGGTTGCTTTCCTTGTAGCCCATGTCCGGTCGAACCGGCCTGCGAATGTTTAAATAGTGGCCTTCGCCCATGAACAAGAGTGCTTCTCCTTATCATTAGTATCTACAGTTCCTGTTTCTCTTCGTCTTATTTATCCTTTTCGCTACTTATTTTCTTTCACTCGGACAAATCTGATACGATGTTAATCTTATTGTCTCTTGCCATTGCGCAGCTCCTTGCCCCCATCACAGCTCTTTCTGTTGCGAAACGCGCTACCAACTGCGCCGGCATCGACAGTGGCAGCACCTATACGGCCGGCGGCAAGCTGTTCGCCGTCGAAGCGGACGCACTCCGATCCAACAATAACCTCGGCGATCCTCTCTTCGGTGGCTCATTCATCGACTGCATGACCAGCTGTGCGACAACCACTGGTTGCACCGACGTATCCTACACCTCAGGGGGCACATGCTACCTTAAGCAAGGCACCGTCGGCGGCATCACTGGCATAGAAACTGGCACCTGTGATGGCAAGATTGTGCAGCCCTCCTCCACCTGCAATCACACCGCCAACGCCGTTGTCAACGGCGACTTCGAAAACCAGTGCTGCGGCTACCTGGCTCCTTGGATCGTCGTCCCCGGCCGCTCCTCTGACAACACCGTGCTCAAGGGCCCCGGCGCAGGAGGCGGAACCGTTGCGCCCGGTCCCGCCGACGGCAACTATGTCATCAGCGTGCAGCAAACGGACGCGAATGCCATCTCATACATCACCCAAGGCATTTCCGTCTGCCCGGGCACCACATACCGCCTCTCGCTAGCTGCTCGCCGCAACTCGGCCGCATCGACTGCGCTGGCTTTCTACGTCTCGGCGACGGTGGACATCGGTACTAAGGGCTACAACGTTATCATGTATTCGAAGAATGTTGCTTCTTCTGATTGGACGACGTTTACGGCGGATCAGAATATTGTTATCCCGGCTACGGAACTCACATCTACCTATGGTGTTCTTCAAATCCAGTTCAGCAATGTAGCCCAGGCTAATACGGGAACGAAGGAGATTTGGGTTGATAGCATCAAGCTTATGCCGGTCTCATGAGAACTTTGAATGGGCGGCGATGTGATGGGAATCTGAAAGATGGGGTTGGCTGTCTGTTTTCAAGCTGCGATGTGTATATACGTGAAAGTAATTCTGATACCCTAATGTTAATGGAAGTGTTTGGTCTGATGAATACCCTTGCGCTCGTGAAATTTACCATCGAAAGGAAGCAAACAACACTACCATATCGTCAATTAAACCGGCATTTGGCACCAGAGGGCTTAGCGAAAGACTGTCGAGAGTAAACCAAAGGCTTTTCTATGCGAATGTTACGTGAAGTGTCGAATATTCGTTGAACGCACCCCTAGTCCTATAATTAGTAACAGTGGGAATGTAGGAGGACCGATTTTCGATAACAGTAATATTGAACAAGGGTTTTGCGTGACTCAGAATAAGCCGGCATCTATCCGGGGCCCTTTGCTCGCGTGAAATGTGCAGTTTCCAGGTAACAAGTTGTGATGGTGGAGTTGTAATCCCGAGGTCATGCATGCTTGCCAAGCCTTTGCCCGCAGCCGATGTCAAATCTCGCCTATTAGCTCTTCTGAATAAACTATATATTGCAACATTTTCCGCTACCGTCCATCAAACAGGCACTTTGGCGGAGTGGTTAACGCGCGGGCCTGCTAAGCCCGTTCCTTCGGTACGGCTTCCCCAAATCTTGATGTCCAATCAGGTCACTAACAATCCTCAGGGAGCCTGGGTTCGATCCCCAGAGGTGTCGTACATGATTAATTTTTTTGGTTTTTGTCCTCAAGTTTTCTTATTTACTCGTGCTGATCTCTTCTTATCACGTTCCGTCTTCTTTTTCGTTTGGATTGGTAAAGGCTCCAATGTGCTCGCAGGCGGATCTAAATCACTGGGTAGGTAGGATGGGGGTGGGTGCCTTGGCGCAATCTCCGTGTCTCCTTATGAAGTACCTAGCATCACGACCCACCAACCGGAACACGAGCGATCACCAACAACGTTATGTTAGAAGCAATGGATAAACTCGCTCCTAGTTTTCATACTTACGAGGATGTCTGCGCCTTGGAAGAGAGGTGTCCCCTGTTTTTCACCTGAGTAAAGGGAGATGTCAGTAGGCGCGTAGCGTAACAAACGTCATGGCCCAAGCGCATGTTCATCTAAGCTATCAAGGAGTTTGCACAAATCATTCGCTATCAAGATGGCATCTCGCTCACTCTATGGGTCATGGAACTCGATTGATTCAGCAAGCTCTTTTTCAATTCCAATTTTCCCAGCGACGCATTCGACACTCCTTTCGAAGTCCCATTAGTGTGATGTTTAGGTGAACTGGGAGTTCATAAAAGTAAAGCGCGCTGCAAGATTGTAAGTTTGATCAAGTAGCCTTGCCTCATGAGCCAATCACGAAAACTTCAGATAAGAAGGCTGATTATTTTGCGTCACCCCCAAATCTTCAGCCTCGTAGCCTCGCAGCTTGGCCTGCAACTTTCCCCTCATCGCCATGCTCTACTCCACCGTTCACTGAACCGCATGCGCAGATTCATCCCAAACGCATTACTATGCTGTCCTTAGCAGACTACTTCGCACCCGAGAAGGTCGGTGGTTATACCTACACTGACGGAGACTGCGTGGAGTTATCAGCTCTTCTGGAGGATGAAGGCTTCTCCGAGTGGGCGAAACGACCGAGACTTTACATCCTTTGTCGTCTTCTCGACCAAGTCAGCGCCATGGAAGACTTCGTTCGCCTGGGTTTCAACGACATATGTTTGCCCTTTCCCACCCCTTCCTCTCTCCCAAGGGCGTTGCGTTCATGCGCAGAGACATTCCTCGAAAGGCAGAGTTCGGTTTTGACCGAAGCTGTTGTTCTCGAGAAAGGATTCGGGAAAGGAAAATATGTTGATCTGCACATTGAAGACAGAGATTTGCCGTACCAGTCAACTGGAAAGCTGGGAACGGGACGAAATGCAGTCGACCGAGTGCGCAGCACGCTAAGCGGAAACCTTTTTGCCCGAAAGCGCTTCCAGAAGCGCCTTGGACCTAATTCGAGGAGCATTTTGAAAGAATTCGAGAACGAATTGAACATCATGAAGCGTATTGATCATGAACATTGCGTTCGCTTTGTAAGTTTACCGCTTTTCAATATGAAAACCCGCTGACAGATTTGTGTAGGTTGGAAGCTACACTGACAGAAGATACTTCGGCGTGCTCATGGTTCCCGTAGCAGAACACAGCCTGACCGACTTCCTTGCCAGCTCGGAGCAGCATGTCCGTCACAGAATCACCCTAGGAACTTTCTTCGGATGCCTTGCTAGCGCTCTACATTACCTACATCAGAATCAAATTCGCCATCGCGACATCAAACCAGACAACATTCTCGTCAAAGGGGCCGGAGTCTATCTCACAGATTTCGGCATCTCCCTTGATTGGCAACAGCTCTCGAGGAGCACTACTGATGAAGCGTCTGGACTGACCTACAACTATTGCGCCCCGGAGGTTCTCGACCCCGATCAGAAACGAAACTCAAGGACTGACATTTGGTCTCTCGGGTGTGTTTTCATGGAAATACTCGTAGTCAAAAGAGGACTCAGGATTGAAGACCTCAAAACCACTTTCCGCAGTAGTTCAGGAACGACGGCCTTCCACAAGAATACTGAAACGGCATACACTTGGATCCGCTCGCGTCTTCAAGAACCCAGACCCAAGAAAATAGGTCCGACCATCTCAGAACTCATAGAGGGCATGCTCTCTCTGACACCTGGTGACCGGCCAGATGCCGCGGAGATCTACCACATCATCTCGACATTTCAGAGTCGAGATGTTGATTCATCAAATCCTTATTGCGGTCAATGCTGCATCTCCGAGGATGTTACTGATGATGGCTTCGTGATTGACCTCCCCGGATCCCCCCCATATCCCAGCTCGCTTGACGAGAATTCTAGAGTCGACTCTTTGAACGATATTTATCGGCAGCTGAAAGAGGATGCTTCTTATCCTCATGGGCGTGCGGAGTCTGACTCGCGGAAATCTTCTTTGTCAAGCAGGACCGATATGACCGAGAAACGCGTTGAACGAGGAAGTTTCACGCCGCGGCGGGATGTTCTCCTTGAAACCCCACCAGAGTCCATCTCGGGCACTACAACCGGCGTCTCTGCCAAGCCGTCGCACTTTCAGGCCCCTCTCTATGGTAAGCTTCTAGAAGGGATCAAATTCAACCGATGGCCTCCTACAAACTTAGAAGGCGAACTTCCTCATATCAATGATCGCCACTGGAATGATCCTACACAACTTCAGATAGCCATTTGGAGTAGTACTGTTTTCATGGAATATATTGGAAGAGTCCACCCTGATTTGGCTAAGCGGGTTCTAAGTTCCCAGTTGGCCGATCTTCTCTCTTTGATTCATCTATTCTTATACAATGGGCTCAGCATCCCTGAAATTCGGAGGAGCATCCCTGAAACTCGGAGGATCATGCCAATAGGGCTCCGAAGCAACAAGCCCACAAGCTACACGCCCATAATGGCGGTGATGAGGTCTGCGGGACGGGGGGTGACCCCTACCTGGCAGGAAACCAGACTCGGTTTGCCCATGATAGCCCTTCTCGCTGCCTTTGCTGGCGTTGAGGGCGAGAGGGGCAGTCCTTTGGGCAAATCTTTGAAGAATTCAAACTTCGAGATCACGAAAGTGCTCCTAGACGCTGGAGCCAATCCAAATGAGATTTATCCGCAATCTGGAGGCCAATCAATCCTGATGTTCGCGGCAGGCTTGAGCGATAACAGTACGGTGGCTATGAAGTTCCTCCTTGAAGCAGGAGCGCAACCTCACGATCCCCTTGCCCTCGGAGCGCAAGGGCAGACGCTGTTTCATGTTGCCGCTCGTAAAGGAAGTGTCGATGCTATTACGTTCCTTCTTGGACTTCCCTGGCACGACAAGTTGATCAATGCAAAGGACATTACTGGGAAAACCGCTTTGGATTATGCAGATATCAATCTAAGCCGTAAATTGCCTTGGTCGAAATCGCGTCATGCAGCCATTGTCAGCTGTCTCATTTCAGCGGGTGCCGAACGGGGAGTTTCGTCGAAGTAAAAGGCCACCACTTCTACTGCACCTGACATTTTGAGCTTTAGTACATTCATGTCTGGTAAATCGAAACAAGACCTCAAGTAGAAAAGATGACAAAAGCGCGATCAAACTCCCAACTGTAGCTAAGGATCCGCCTGGTTGACTGTTTGTGTTTTCGGTGAGGAACCTCAGGATTTCGAGCCTCACTAGTGCTGACAATATTAGCCGCCTATGTAGACAATGGACGGTCCGATACGGGCGTTGGTAAACGATAAGGGGCAAAGGGAAAATCAAGTCGAATCGAGGAGTTATGAAGAAGTCATGGAGTATGGTGAGAAGAAAAGGGTCACTGCAATGGGCCCGGTGGTGGCTGCATGCATATCCTTCTACCGGAGAGCAGTAAAAGGTAAGTGAAGGTGGCTTGAACGGTTGCATAATTGTCTAACAGCTCGACAGGACGACCGTAATCCGAGAGAGCGGCAATGGGATTGTTCGGTCTCGCTTATTATCCCTCACACGAAGGTAGAGGGGTAATATGAATAGAGAATTTGTGCTGCCGGGCCTCATGTCTTGATACAGTACCAGGTCATAAGTTTGGGCACGTGGATATCTCACAGCTCTGGCTCTACTCTTGCCCGACTGACACCACTGTGAGGGGTGCCCCATGTTGAATGTGACACCTTCGTCATAAGGTAGTCTAATTTCCACTGCGTTGGCCTGGATCCAGTGATGCTGCTTGTGAAGGAGTATAGGAAGGGTCATGAGTCGAAAGGTTGTGGGTCCTTAGCCTTTCGATATTAGCGGCATTGTTTCCTTCTGCGTCTGACAAAAAAAGTCGATAGCTTCGTAAAGAACACCCTGGATTGACTTCATTACTTTCGTTCATTTTCATTTAATCAAGGATCGGTAGATTGACCGAGAACTTCTTGACCACTATACTTTTCTCTCCGGCAAAATAGGATAGGCTGATGGCAGAAGGCTGTAACAACAGCATCCAGCATTAGAAGATCGCCGTTGGTGGTGTTGAAACTCCCATTGGCCTATCCATGGCTCTAATAAGGCAGTTTACCAAAGTACATGCTTTTCGCTCGTGATCAATTGACCCTAGGACCGAGAGCAATGCAAGAGAAAGGTAGATCGACACCAGCCTTTCGCTGCATCTCAATGAGACGCCTGATGCCCAGCTCCAGTGCCCGCTCACTGAGAGCATCTTCATCCTCCGCTAAGGCTCCTCTGTTGAGTGGTCCTTTCCTCGCTCCCTCGAGCTCCCACAGATTCCCATCAGCACCCTTCACCAGCGCTACAAAGTGGTTGATATCACCCTCGTCACCAGGCGTCAGGAGGTTCGAATCACCTCGTTTCGCAACAGATTCACTGGCCTCATACATGAAGTCTGATTCGCGCAGGAATTTTGCTCTCTCATCCATTCCAAGAGGCACCACTTCCTTCAGAAAGTCGGCCAACTTACTTCCGGGTACAACCATCTCCAAAGGAGTCCCATTGGAGACACAATGAAGAAGACCTATGAGCCCGCAGCCGTGAATGATGGTCTGCTGAAACCAGATTGCCGGTTCCTCTGAGCCGGCACCCTTGTACCATTCGAGGCTAGAATCCTCTGCATCGCGGTCTTGCTTCCAAACTTCTGTCATGGGAATCGTGGTTAATAGAGCGAAGACGGGACGTGGAACCATGGCCAGCATG